GCGGCGTTGCTGCAGGGTGATTGCGGAAAGATCCTGAAACAACTTCCCCTCTCTTCCATCTAGGAAGACGGTTCCCCGTTGCCGGGCCTTCAGCAGGATCTCCTCCTTCAGGGGAAGCTCTGGAGGCAGCATATGATGTCTATGGGTGCTTCATCCTGTGCTGCATGGGGTCTCAGGGCCCTGTGTGCTCTCACCAGCTCAATAGGCGATTCAGCAGGCCGGTCCAGCACGTCATTAAAGATGGTCATGAGGACGGTGGGAATGGCCTCTGGCATATATGTCTTCAGCACTCCACGGACCCTAATGTTGGATCTTCTCCCACAGTTGTCCAAATCCTCAAGGTGGCGTCTCATCTCAATCAGATTGCGCACCGTGCAGTCCTGTTGAGAGTGTATGGCCTTGATTTCTTCTCCCTGCCTGCGGCCTGAGCGTTCCACGCCATGGATGCAATGGCCCATGTCTTGCAGGTCTTTCCGCAGCTCCAACACTGCCGAGCATAGGGCTTCTTTGATGTCGGAGGCCACTGAGTGAAGCTTCGAGCGTGTCGGCAAGTGTTGGAGGTAGGATGCGGGATGGGTATCATGCGGGTCCGGTCCTGCACCGGGAGCGGGTGTGTGGAGAGGGTGCGTGCTGCAAGGCCCCGGCGCCATTTTGAGTGACATCGCCTCGGGAACTGAAGGCCGCTGTGTGCGGAAAATGTACGGGATATTCCTACTTAGCTCCGTGGTAAAGGTAGCGGGCGTCGCTGCGGGTGTCTGCTGTTGCCCAATTTTTACCATCGTGGGTGCAGAGTTGCTAATGGAGCGTCGTTTGGGTCTCGGGTAGCCGGAGCTCCTTTAGTGTGCGGCCATTCTCCTCGCGGTGCAAGCCACGCCCCCCGTATGCATATATGTTTGAGCAGGTGTGTACGTGTGTATTAGTCCATGTGTGATTTTGCTCTTAGGCTTACCTGTACCCCTGTATATTATGGTCTCCGAGGAACTCGTCCAGGAGTTTCTTGAATGATTCCACACTATTAGCTGAGATCACTTCCTGCGGTAGCGAGTTCCAGACCTTAACCGCTCTGACTGTGAAGAACCCCTTGCACCCTGTGTGTTGAAATTTTTTTTCCACATATTTTTGGTTGCGCCCTTTGGTCTTTGTTACAGAGCTAACCGTAAACATTTTGTTAATAATGTTGCTGTCACCCTTAAATAGTTTATACAAGAAGATTATGTCCCCCCTTAATCTCCTAACCTCCAAAGAGAACATATTTAATTTTAACAACCTTGTTTCATAGTTCAGGTCCTCGAACCCCTTAATAAGTTTGGTTGCTCTCCCCTGGACTTTTTCCAGCTCAAGGACATCCTTTCTGAGTATTGGTGACCAAAACTGGACCGCATACTCCAGATGTGGCTGAACCAGTGATCTATAAAGTGGCAAAATTATAGACTTGTTCCTGCAATACATTCCCTTCTTAATGCAAGACAGGACTCTGCTTGCTTTGTTTACAGCAGTCTGGCACTGCGAGCTATTCTCCAGTCTGCGGTCTATAATGACCCCCAAATCCTTCTCCGTTTCCGACTTCCCTAGTGGCACACCCATAAGTGTATAGTCCATTTGCCTATTTTTAACTCCAAGGTGCATTACCTTACATTTATCGACATTGAACTTCATCTGCCATACAGTTGCCCACTCCCTGATTTTCTCCAGGTCCTCCTGTAATGTTACAATGTCTAAATCTGTGTCTATTATCCTCCCAATTTTCGTATCATCAGCAAACACTGAGACATAGCTACTCACTCCCTCCCTGATATCATTAATAAATAGATTAAAAAACATGGGACCCAGCATAGAACCCTGGGGCACGCCACTCATGACTTCAGCCCATTCTGAAAAGGTGCCATTAACTGATACTCTTTGTGCACGTTCTTGTAGCCAGTTTTCTATCCACGTGCACACTGATTCATCTATGCCCATAGCTCTTAGCTTGTAT